TCTGTTATCCTGGAACTCTAGTGACAGAATGAGCATCTTTAATTGAGTAGAAAAGTCATTTAATTCACTAAACAATTGAAGGTAAAACAGAGGGAACAAAAGAGGGAAAGGGAAAACCTGCACCTTCTCATTTACCGTTGACATTTTCCGTTGTTCGCCGGAGATTTCCAGAAAAGTGAGACTGGCGCCTTTGAGGGGAAGAATGGAAAACAACAGTTTTGGCAGCAAAGTGAAAATAAATGGAATTAAATACTTTGCTATTTTTTCAACCTCCAAACTTGAATAAAGGAAAAATAAAAAGAATTGATTATTCGATTATTTTACTAATCAAATTGGTCAAATTATTAGTTTACTACTCAAAATGACTATCCGATTATTGAATGAATCAAATTTAGCCCAACTACTAGTTCATTATCATAAAATATAATAACCTTATTTTGTCCCCCCGTTCCTCATTCACATGATTTCTTTAATTCTTTCGAATTTGTATCTTTTTACATCTTGTAAAAAATTCCACGGATCGTCTCAATAAATTAATCCATAGAACTCAACTCTTGTTGTGCAGTATAGAACAGGTAAAAACAATGATAGTTTTACTTATTTAGTGATAGCTAGCTTCTTGATATATTGAATGTCTATTAATGAAATATACACAAATTACTAATTATCATGAAAAATATTTCTACAAAATTTTTCCAAATCATGATTTAAAACTTTTCATATCTTGCATAATTAACAAAAAAAAATCATGAGTTGGATTTGCCGCAAAAATGAATGACATATTAAACTAATCAATACATTGAGAGGTTGAGATGGAATAAAAATCAATGTACAATATATACTTTATTGTATAATATCTAATATATAGTTATACATCACTTATACGCGAGTCTATATTATTTGTCCAATATATTATATATACATACATTATTTTATTGAAAACAATTTTTGTTACATGTATCACTAAATTTAAAGTATTTTTCATGTGAATAAATACTTGACTATACTTTTAGTGTAGATAAAATTACTTTTATCTTATATTTATTGTTTTTTAGCAAAAACATTGAAAAATTTGTACACTTGTCAAGTGTGAGTTACTTGAGAATTAAGATTCTATGCACCAAACAAATGCCAAAACGCCTTCACACCAAAAAACCCTATTTTCACTTTTCTATCAAAAGTTGTTCTTCCTCACTCTTCCCCTCAACGGCGCCGTCTCGCTCTACTCCAAGTCTCCGGTAATTCAACGATGGAAGACGAACAACAAAGAATGTCCATAGACAATGAGAAGGTGCAGGTTCTCCTTTCCCTCTTTTGCCCCCTCTATTTTACCTTCAATTGTTTAGTCAACTGAATGACTTTTCTGCTAAATTGAAATTGCTCGTTCTTTCAATCAAGTTTCAGGATAAGATATATAAATCATAAAAATACTTTAATTAATGCTAATGGACATCGATAAAGAAGTGCAACTTCTTTGATAGAATTCTTCGTCAATTAGATGTCCTTTAGCTGTTAGTTTATGGTATCTGAGAATCTAGGGTTTCAGTTAGAGATTTTTATGATATCCAACTGTATCAATATATACCATGATTAGGTAGGAAGGAGGATGTTAGGATCTAGTAAAAATGGAAATTTTACAAAGCAAAAACGGGTGGGTGAGGTGAAACCGTGAAATGCTTTTTCTTTAACAGAAAGGTCTGTTAAAAAATCCTCAAGTTCCTTTCTCACCAGGGGTATATCGACCCTCAAATTCTATTTGGTCATTTTAATTCTCTAAACAACTTATTATTTCAAACTAGCTCACAAGTTGCTGCAACCATTGCTCGATATGGTACTCCTCTGTACTTGATTGAGCAACCACACTTTGCATCTTACACTTAAAGGATACCAAAGTACCTCCTACTAAAACACAATATCCAAACCTGAAACGTCTACCAGAGGGTGATCTTGCCCAATCAACGTCTATATATCCAATGATATGCTTATGGTCACGATCATCAAAGAGTAGTCATATACCTAAAACTCACTTTATATATCACAAAATACGAACAACTGTATCTAATGATTATTAGAGGGGAAGTCATAAACTATCTTGTTGACTCACAAGAAAAGGATGTCAGCTCTAGTCACTATAATTCAACTTCCCACTAGCCATCTTTACCTTCAAAAATCACGGAATGGCTCCCCCTGTCCTGGTAGTATATTAGCATTGGGGTCCATGGAATCGTCAATAGGTCTACATCGCATCATTCTTGTCTCCTCAAGAATGTCCAAGGCACACATGCAATGCCACATAATAATATTTAATCTGGACTGAGCAACCTCAATACCTATAAAATATTTCAGTCCCCTGAGGTCTTTAGTTTGAAAATACTGAAAGAGGTTTTACTTTAAATTAGTGATACTATCCTAATCATTGCCGGTGATAACGATAACGTCAACTTGGACCACCAAATAAAAACACAGACTAGATGCAATATATTGATAAAACACTGAGTGATCAACTTCACCACGAGTCATGCCGAACTCCTGAATTACTTACTGAACTCCCCATGTCTAGCTCAAGAAGACTTTCAAACCTTAGGCTTTAGAGTGACCTGCACAATCGACATTCAAGGATATTGAGAATACTGGAGCCCCCCCCCCCCCCCAAGCTAATAAAATGATGTGGTAAAAGGAAGATATATGCTATTTTAAACCGGGATGAGAAATTATCATTCTAATCCAACCCAAATATTTGGGTATATCCTTTGGCAAAAGAGAAATTGGAAAACTTATATCAATCAGAAATAGTGCAATTGTCACCAAAAAGTGCTCAAAATTTGGTATAAAATGTATGAATTGTCTCTAAATCACGAGCCAAGTGACCCGAAAACTAGCTGGAACAGGCTCACGAATTGGAGCGTGGTACAATCGCGGTGGCTAGAATCCTGAAAGTCCTACTATTACTTTTTGATTGGTAAAGGATAAGTGTATTGATACTTGATGCTGTAGAACTGTACAATTAGAAAGCTTACAAGGAAGTCATACTATTATTTCATTTTTCACTTTATATTTATGTTGCCCGTGCCCTTCCAACGAGGATGCACTTGTGAGTAGTTTTTCTTTCTAAACACAATAATATCAATCCCTGTGCGGCTCCCCTTTACAAATTTTTTGGCTTGTTCTCTATCTCTCATTGCTGCAATTATTGCTATGTATACTGTCACTAAGCTTGAGTACGTTTATCGACAGAAACTTGGAGATGATATTTGCAGATATGGCCTATGCATCAGACAATGTGATGCAAACGTGGTATCACTCAAAATTAAGCAATCAAATATTGAACTTGAGATGTCCAACTTGGGAGGTATTAATTCAGCTGATTCTGTCATGCTACTGTGTTGCTGCAATGGTTTGGCTTTATGTAGTCCAAAAAAAATTTAATTGACACCTGAAATCAAAAAACAATGTTATGTGCATCATGTAACCATCTCTTAGCTTATTATCTCTTCTTTATGTTTTAACATTTTGCAAATTCCAGGGACGCATGCAAAAGGCAGTGGTGCTATTTGCGGATATTAAACCTTGTACCTTCAAACCTAAAGATTACTATTTGCGGAGATTCCATATTCTGTTATATGTTCTGATATATTTGCTTGCTTTCAGTTTCTCTACAAATTAATATGGTGCAACCCTTGCAAGTTTCTGTTACTTCAGTCTGGATGATTTAATTCCTGATGACATTTCTTTTCTGTTCCTTGTGTCTGTGGAGTTCTCCCCGAACTTCTCCTTACTTTCTGCTCCTGGTGCTATAACTAGTCTTGCAATTTAACAATCTGTTAAATTGAAAGAGATCATGTGGTTACTTGTTGAAGAGTGATACCTAATTCTCAACAGACATTAAATGCATCTTAGAAATTGTAACATGAAAATGGTCGTGGATGCAGCTTGGAATGGTCTTGATTCTTTTCACGACTTGGTCTATGATAAAGACGTGATTTTGGAGAAGATAGAAGGAAAGGCGGACAGTGCAGCTGCTGTTATATACAAGCTTCTCAGATCACCAAAACCTGAACAACTTTATCTCAAATATGCTCATGACATACTTGGCGTGGTTGCACTTCTTGGAGAGGTTCAGACCCACAAGCTTAGCAGGTTGGTGCTGGTATCCTTTTCTTTAAAATGAAGTATAAGAACTTCCTTGTCTATATGGATGCAACTGAGTGTGTTTTCTCCCCTTAGCATGCTTTCGACATATCTTGGAGAAGATCAGATGCTTGCTGTAGTATGCAAATCCCGTGCAGCTACCAGAGCTCTTGAAATTAATCAAATGGATGGAAATGTGAATTGCGCCAGTGTTCTTGACATATTAGCAGCTAAGCTTGGAATTTCCATCAAGGGTCAATATATGGTTATATGCCTCGAGGATATAAGGTAAGAACCTTTCTTTCTCTGGTTTACTTCATACTAAATGATATTAATTGTTAGGATTTTTGGTTTCTCGATCCAGTTGACAAATCATGTAATAACCATGTCTGATCAGTGCTCTCAGAAAAAAGAAACAATATGTAAAGTCCTAGCTTTTTTATTTCAGGCCATATAAGCAAGGAGTCAGCAGTGATCCCCAAAGAGAACTTGCTATTCCACAGCCTACTTTATCAAACAGAGAAACTCCCCCAGGCTTTTTGGGCTACGCAGTTAACATGATATTCCTTCCTGAAGAATATTTGCAGTTTAGAACTGCTTCAGGTTATGGTCTCCGAGATACATTATTTTATCATCTGCTTGGTAAGCTTCAAGTCTACAAGTCCAATGAGCACCTTTACATGGCAAGTTCCTGCATAGAAGATGGTGCGGTTTCCCTGGATGGTGGAATGATGAGAGGAAATGGAATTGTATCTGCATCTGTTGGATCTGAGTATGCACTTTCTTTTCCTACTTCTCTACCATTTATGAGTAGATTTTGCATGACATCCTTGGGCCTTGAATGATTAATGTTCTGTGTTTATCTTCTTCAGGGATCCATATATTCTATTTCCAATCATCTGTCTGGAAAGACAGTTACTCCTCTCACCTGAGAAAGTAGAAAGATTGAAGAGAATCGAAGAGTTGAAGCTGGAACAAAATCAACTTCAAGATCGAATACAGGAAGAGCTTAGGAATGAAGCCAAGTACAAGAAGAAGTTGGCTAAAAAGCTCATGGACAAAAAGCAGATTGATGATCAGTTTGAGGATGCACTTGTGAGTAGTTTTCGATTGCCCTGTAGTTGGTCGCATGTTCTACATTTCTAAAAATGAGGGCTGTTCCATCTATGTATTATATTTCCTGAAGAAACTTTGGCATCCTGTTGTGGAAATCTGAATGTTCAACATTCATTTGTATTTTCAGAAGGAAAGTATATTTTATGTTCCTCCTTAATGAAACAAAGATAGAAAAAATGGCATGTATGATTTGCGCATTAGTATTACTTGTTCACTGTAGATGTGGTGTGCACTCTAGGACCTTATACTAGACACTTGTTGAACTTCTTCTTAATAAGCAACTCTAACAAACTGATGTTTTTACATTACTTTTCCAGCTACGAATCGTTCCTGAGGCACCGCTTATGCATGATCCATCGCTCAATCAAGGAGGTCAGACTAGTTCCATTACTTTTGCTGGCAATCGGGACATAATACAAAATAGAACTGCTGAGGCTGTTAGCTGCCATTCCAAGGTGGTATGATTTTCAAAAATATTTGCCTAGATTATTTTATTTTGTCATTCATGGATGCAATGCAATGTACACAATAGTCTTGATGATAGGTATAGATATATCTACTAGCGTCCTTTATTTGAGATGATAATAACATAATAATATATTGTGAAATAAATGGATCAATATTCATGACTGCATCATTTAATTACTGCAGAAACTTGAGGATGCAATTGAGGAGACTGGTCTTCAAATTAAACACCATGATGATAACATAAAATTCTTAGAGGGTCAGAAGAACAGGTTGGATGATTCAATTTTGGATTTAGAAGGTATTGTTTCCTTCTTTTCAAGTTAATTAGGTGTGTTGTAAAATCACACATTGTAAGATTTCGTGATTACCTGTAGTGCAGAGTATCAGCCATCAGCTTGTTTCAATGAGCTTATGGGTTTAATTTTGTGTATTGCCTAATTAAAAGCACACAGTGTAGACTATAGCATTCACGTTAACTTTTTTCTTTCCCTTTTGTCATATGACTTTTCACTGTTTCTCAATTTTAATGCCTTGTGCTTGTGGGGTATTGTAGCTGCTCTCGCCAAGACTTATTCAGCAAGTGGAACTGGTTCTGAAAATAAGGAATCTTCCAATGGGCAGAATGAGGAGGAAACAATTGAACAAATCTTAAGTTTTGATAAATCTGCAGCTGCCATCTGTGTCCAGCTGCAAAAGCGTACTGGAGCTCAGATTACTAATATTCCATTTATGAAGGACATAGTAGGAATTGTTGCTTTGCTTGGGAAGGTTGACGACGACAATCTCAGCAGGTTTGTTTCACATAGCATCTAGTAATTGCTGACGTTTTCTACAATAAAATAGACAAAGAAGAAAAAAGAAATGAGCTTTATATGAGTCCACTTTTTATGCTAGTCCCTGTTCAAGAGATTATAGCACTCGTTCACTCTGTCCCAATCAAGATGATAGAGAAGACTTGAGACAAATAGTTTGATATGTTCTGGTCTTTTAATTGTCATAAGTATTGAGTGATTAGGGTTTGGAGGTCGCAGATTAGGGTAGAAGGTTAGTTGATAGTTGAATGTTTTCTCACTTTCTTAGGTCGTACTAAGTATATTATTATTATTATCATTAATAATAATATTCTTATTGCACTTTTCATCCTCTCACTAGGTATGTTTTTGCTATTGTTATTAAATACTTTTGGAATTTTTCTTTGTACAATTGACCTGGGAATAACCCCTTAGCATGTGGAGACTCTTTTGTGTATGAAAATGTGCATCTCTTTGCTCAAAGCTAGGTCTTGTCATGACGTAGAAGTTAGTATCTGAATAGTTCTTTTCATTTTGAGATTGAAGATAAAAGAAGCATGGCGTTTAAACAATGTTAGAGTGGGTTAAAATCCCATGTTGGTTGGGGAATGGATGTGCGTTTGCGTATATGGAAATCCTCCCCTCATGAGCTAGATTTTGGGTTTAAGTTTTGCCCAAGTGTCATATCCTTACATGATATCAGTGCGAGGGTAGTCCCTGTTTGGGATTTCTGTTCATGTTCCAGTCGAGCCTGGACGTGAAAGGGGTGTTCGAGTAGGTTAGAGCCCCACATTAGTTGGGGAATGAATGTGCGGTTTGCATATACAAGCTTGGGCAATCTTACCCTCATGAGATATATTTTGGGGTCGAGTGAGGCCCTAGTGCTATATCTTTACCAAAAAGTAGGCAGATAATGGAAGTTCACTGTACTAACCAATTTTTGTTTAGAATCACTGTATTATGAATGACATTTGTATCTTAATCTCTGAAATCCAGGACTCTCTCAGATTATCTTGGGCAAGGAACCATGTTAGCAATTGTTTGCAAGACGCTTGATGGACTTAAAGCACTGGAAACATATGATAAGGAAGGTCTTATAATTAAAAGTTCTGGTCTTCATGGAGTTGGAGCTTCAATTGGAAGACCTTTGGATGACCGATATCTTGTAATTTGTCTTGAGAACTTAAGGTTTGTGGTTATGATGATCTCTTCTTGCAAATACATCTCATATTGTTTAACACTTCTTTACTCTCTTATTTTTTCATTTTTGGGTTTATCATTTTAGACCATACACCAGTGAATTTATTGCTGATGACCCTCAGAGAAGGCTGTCCATAAAGAAGCCAAGATACGTCAACGGGAAAACTCTTCCTGGTTTTCTTGGTTTTGCTGTCAATATGATCAATATTGACACTGATAACTTATATTGTGTTACAAGCAATGGTCATGGACTGAGAGAGACCCTCTTCTATGGACTCTTCTCACAGTTGCAAGTATACAAAACAAGGGCAGACATGATGCAGGCACTACCCTTTATAGCTGGTGGAGCCATATCATTGGATGGTGGGATCATAAAGAGTGCTGGTATATTTTCCCTAGGCAAAAGGTAAAGAGATTTATCTTAAATAGTGCGTTTATATTCATAATTTTTTCTTCCTTCATAGTTCAACTTGTTTGTGAAGATACTTTAAAGAATTGATTGCCTCTTAACTTGTTCATTTTTTAGTATCAAGTTATATACTTCATCTCTAACTGTACGCCTGAACTGGGAAGCTGGTGTTATTTTGTGACCATGTTGCTTGACCTTTGTGGAGTTCAGTAGTTCAACCTTTCAAGAACTTACTCAATCAATCTGTATAGAATGGTGCATGAAAGCATGTTCTTCAATTTCTTTCACTATATCTGCAGCGAAGCTTCTGTAAGGTAGCCTTTGTTATATTTGTTTGTAACACATTATAGAAGTTAATCAGGAAAGATAATCTATAATATAATTTTCTGGGAGAGGAGTCTTGAGGATTTATCATGTTCCGAGTCTACGACACATTTTAGATTCACTGAATGACTTATGGTAGTTATTTATATCTTATATATTAATCCAATGTCTCGTGGGAGTTGTTTTTAATCCTATTCCTACGCTTATAAATTACATGTATTTGATTTTGTATGTTTATAAATTAGACTTATTTGAATTGACAGCACACTTTATTTTTCTTGTTGATTGTATCATTGAATCATTATCCTCCCTACCTTTCCAAGGTAGGGGCATGGATGCGTTCACTCCACCCTACCAGATCCACTTGTGTGGATGTATTGTTGTTTGTTTGTACATCACTAAATCATTTGGGTTCTTTCTTTCTCGTGTTTATTTTTGTAAAGGGAAGTACAGATCAAATTTCCAAAGAGTTGTGGAAGGTCATATATACCTGAAAACTATTTTGAAACTGAGATCCGGATGAAGGAGCTGAAGTGGGAAAGGGTAAGATGTGTGGAAGATTTAGAGAGAGAGCAAACATTGCTGACCAATGCTAAGAACAACTTTGAAATAAGGAAAGAAGAGTTTGTCAAGTTTCTTTCACAAAGCTCATCCCATCTTTGAGGGTGTTTAGTTAGACTATGAATGCTTGAGCTTTCTTTACTTGATACTCTTTGTCCGTACATCTTGCTTTAATTGATTGATGATGTCATTTGATAGCTGCAGACTGTACTTGCATTTTATCTTGTTAGGTGAGAACTCTGCATGGATAAGAGATCCTATTTTTTGCCCTGGGAACTGTTTAAGCTTGTGCTTGCCTTAGTATGCCAGTTATCAATGCTTTATTGAGCTGTCTAAAGATCGATGTACGTAGATATAGGAAGTGAGAGGCTAAAACCATTTCACGAGAAAGGGATGAAATTGGTTTTTCTTGGATGCAGTAAGACTGTCCTTTTTCAACCGATCCCCTGTATCCTCCAAAAGATCATGTTTACATTAAATTAATAAGAGACTACCCACCAAATGCAGGCTGGAACGATGTGCCACCAATGTTCTTCTCCATTTCCTTTGACAGACCAGTTCCTTCTTCTTTGGAGGTGCTAACAAATTCCATATTACCCCATTTACTGCTCCTGACAACCTCTGAATTGAATGTCGATGGTAGAGAAGCATTTATGAATCACAAGTACAGATCTTCTTTCTTCTGTGGCATCTACATAATTGCTTCCTTGTATTTGGAGTATTCAAGTGGCAAGATTTGAATCTTTGGACATTTTTTAGGCTAGACAAATCAGGAGCTTCTGAAGTTCCGCTGAAGCAATTTGTTCCTAGAGGAGACATATATAAATTGGAAATTTAGTCTAGGTATTGAATAGTCATTTAGTTGCGAAGTTTTTGCCATAATGTTAAAAATCCTAGTATTGAATTTTGGAGAGAGAAAATATTGAAGAAACGAGTGGAATATATGTCAAGGCAACCAAAGGAAGACTACTAGTAGATAAAAGATATAATTTAGGAAGATCTAGATAAGAGGTGCCTTGTTTATCAACTGGAGTGTTTGTAAGAAGAAATTGGAGTTGTTTCTAGATGTAGAGCATAGCGAAAGAATACAGTTTAGACTGTACATGTTTGTGAAATTTAGCTTTTTAAAGCAAATTCTGAATTTGTAGTAGTGTATTAGGGAATTTTGTTTCACACCCGAATTGGCTACATCTACGATAGAGGGTCTTCTTTTGAGGGAAAAAATCTTTTTGAACGGCATCTCAGCAAAAGAGAACTTGAACTGTGAACCATAAGGCAAGTACTTAAATGCTAATACAAACTTCTCCCACATACACACATGAAGGGGGGATAATCAAACCACCACTTTGCTAGATGAGTCTGGAGACCCAAGAGTCCGCCACAGAACCTAGACCTCGAGAGGCAAAGATCCAAGTAGCTACAACATGAAGTAAGCTTCACTTGTAACCTTAAGGAATATAGAAAGTTATTCGAAATTCCTAGCAAGGACTTTGGATGCTATTCATTCCTAAATTCCTTTTGCCCTTAACTTGCGAACTCGAATTAAACTGAGTGAAGCCTGAGATTCTTTTCGAAGACTTGAAGATATATAGTTGAAGAGGAGAAACTTTAATCAGAGCAAAGGTTGGGTTTGTTTTTTGGTTGTATTTTCCTCATTTTGATCCTGGGGCTGTTGCAAATATGATGCAACACATCTTGCACCATATTTGTATATTACCTTTATAAAAAAATGTCTTGCACCATATTTGTTGTTCGTAAGAGACGAAGGAAGCCCTGCTCCACAAACGAAGGGGACTAACTGCACTGATCACCCTCATAGTTTGAATTTCTAAAAAGATTACAATAGAAGAGTTTGTCATCTTTTTTTTTAGAAGGTTTAAATAAGCATAGACATAATTAATTTAGGGTGTTCGTTGTCTTTTTAAGTAGAGGTCTACTAGGATACCTACAAGAGATAGACTTTTCATCTATGCTTAGTATTATGAAAAGCAAAAAGCGCAACAAACAGTTAAGGTTCTTTAGAGCTTTGCAAAGTACAAATAAGATGTGGGCTTTAATGAAAAACGACGCAAAGGGTGAAAAAATACAATTATGCATATGTTTAATCCAAGACTAATAATTATTGGGGAAAATATACAAAAGGGCCTGTTATTCGTCTATTTCAAAAAAAAAAAAACAAGAGGCTAAATTGGACATTGGACATACCCTTCTTCTTCTTCCTAACAATTTTTGCCATTAATGGCTTCTTTTCCTCCTTCTTCCTACTTCCCCCCCTCATCCTCTTCCGTCCTCATCATCATCATTCTTCTTAGTCGTCTTCTTTCTCCTTTTTTTTAATTAATGTATCGAAAATGTGAATCATTACGAGCAAATATATATCTAAAGACTCGAATCATCGAACAAATTTCATATCTAATCTCAAATTTTGGAATTGTTTAGAAGTTATTTAGAACTGATCGAGTTTGAACACTCTATGTATACTTCATGTGTAGTTAAGTTATTTTTCAGCTTTTTGAGTGTATCACATTGTATAGTTAGTTTATAACTTATGTATAGGTAAGCTACATTGTATAATCAGTACATTACTTTCTATGACTTTTGGCAAGCTATATATTCAAGCTTTTACATAAATCAACTTAGATATGACTTAACTTTTATCTGCTTGGCATCGATAACACTAATTATTACGAAAACATCATTACTAGGATGAATAATCTAACTAGATTCACTCAAGTATATAGCCTTGAAAGATAGGATGAGCTTTGTGAAAGAAACTTGACAAACTTTTGTTTCCTCATTTCATAGTTGATCTTTGCATCGGTCAGCAATGTTTGCTCTCTCTGTAAATCGCACCCTTTTCCACTTCAGCTCTTTCATCTGTCTCTCAGTTTCAAAATAGCTTTCAGGTAGATTCAACCTTCTAGAACTCTTTGAAAATTTGATCTTTACTTTACTTCCCTTAACAAAAAATATACACGAGAAAGATAGAATACAAATGATTAAGTTATGCAAAATAAACAAACAACAAATTACATAAACACAAGAATAAGATTAAAAACAACGATAATGAGATTAAGATATAAATAATTACCAAAAACCATTCAGGTATATCTAAAATATATCGTAAACTTGTACGTGATAATATTGAAACTAATCTCCCAGAAAATTATATTATCTTTCCTGATTAACTTTTTATAATGTGTTGATGACTTTTTTCATTGGAGGTGCAAATAAATTTCATATTTCCCCATTTACTTTCTCCTGACATCTCTTGAATATAGAATTTCTTTGTCTGTCTATCTTTAATTGAATATGATGGTAAAGAAACATTTATGAGTAAGCGTATCTTGTTATCAATGTCTTTCCACCCAACTTCCAAATCTAGCTCAGGGATGACAAGTGTAGATCTTCTTCTTCCACGTAGATTTGACATCTACATATTTGCCTCCTTGTATTTAAAGTATTCAAATGGCAATATATGAAACTTTGGAAATTTATTAGGCAAGAAAAATGAGGAGCTTGGGAAGAATCTTTTGCAGAATTTACTTTAAAGAAAGATTTAATTTATGTAAACTTCTGCTGAAGTAATTTGTTCGAAGAGAAGACATGGATAAATGAGAAATTTAGTAGTTGAGGCATTAAATAGTCATTTAATGGTAAAGGTTCTCGCTATAATATTAAATAAACTAGAAATACTTGTAAAAATTAAGAGAGAAAATATTGTAGAAATGAGTTGAATGAATGTAATGGGAACCAAAGGAAGACTACTAGTAGATTAAGGACACAATTTAGGAAGATCTAGATAACAGTTATCCAGGACAGGTCCCTAGTATATCATATGGATTGTTTGTAAAGAAGAAATTAGAGGTTTTTTGAACGTAGAGCATAGCGATAGTATATATTACAAAATGCACATGTTTATGAAATCAAGCCTTTTACGTTAAAACACAATCTCTGAATCTGTAGAATTTATCGCGGAATTCCTTCCATGCCCGACTCGGCTATATCTCTGATAGTGGGTCTTGTTTTGATGAGGGAAAAATCTTTTTTGAAAGGCATCTCGGTGAAAGAGGACTACTAATCGCGAAGCAACATACACTCATGATGGGGGGGACCAAGCCACCACTTTTACCTAATGAGTCCGGAGACCAATAAGCATACCACTTCTTTGTTGTCGTCGTCTTTTTCTTATTCGTTGTTGTCTTCTTCTTTCTTTTTTTATTTAATGTATAGAATACGTGAATCATTTCAATCGAATTATATATCAAAGAACTCAAATCATCGAGCGAATTTCATATCTAAAATTTGGAACTGTTTGGAGGTGATTTTGTGTTGATCGAAACTGAATACTCAATGTAATCTTCATGGTTAGTTGAGTTATTTTTAAGCTTTTGATGTATCACAATGTATAGTCAGTGTACTACTCGTGTATAGGTAATCTATATTGTATAGTTAGAGGTTGTTTGTTTGCAAACAAGTTATCCCATGATTAGTTATCTTGGATTAGCTATCATGGAATTACCCACTATTTATATGGGATAAATTATCCCATTGCTATGATATAGATGGTGGGATAAGTTACCCCAAACATGGCAACCAAACAGATACAAAAACTTTATCCTACCACTATTTATTTCTATCACTCACACCACACTGTCCCTCAGTGTATTACTTTCTATGACTTTTGACGGATTATTATGTAAATAAAATATGGTTATTTCAAAACCTGTTTGGATTGATTTATTTTAAGTGTTTTTAAGATAAAATAGCTTTTAAGCAGTTTCGTAGTGTTTGGATAAGTTAAAAAAGTACGTATAAGCACTTAGTTTTAAGATAAAATGACAAAAATAAATCAAAAGTCATAAGTATGAGTTGTAACTTAAGGTTTTTGGCTTATAAGTCAAAACTGAAAAGCCAATCCAAACAAGCTGTAAACTAATAATTTTATTGTATATATTTGAAACTAGCCCATAATTATTAGCATGAATGACAAATATAAGAACAAACAAATTGAATTTTTTTGTACGATAGAAGTGAAATATCAATTGCTTAGTGTTACATCTTCATAAGAGATTCATTGATAACGAAAAGTATGCCTTAGACTCTTGATGCTGATATTGAAGCGCGCAAAGCGCTCAATAAGTTTTGATACTCGCTTTAGGGCCCATATGCTAACTATGATTGTTTGGTTTCATTTATTGTGTTTGCATGTATGGAAAAAAACCTAATAGAAAATGTTGACTACCTATGCTAATATAATAATAAAGACTTCTTCATATAAATGTGCTGAAAATGCTTTTCTTTCATATATTTTTTCTTTTTAGTGAAAAGAGTCACACGTTATGACAAGCATATTATTAGAAGACTCTAGCTTTGCTTCCTTATCCTTGCTAACTAGAAATGAACCCTCACGAGTTGAGTAAAAGCACCTAGCCTATCCCCCCCCCCCCTCTCTTTACGAGCTGTTTTTGTACTCCAAATTAAAGAACCTTAAAAATTTCATAATTGCATTGTTGTTAGCTTTTTGGCATAAAATGCAGGATGATTTTAATTCTATATAGAATCCATTACAGAGGTAAAAAAAGGCAGTCAATATTGTACCTACATATTTCTCTCTCACTGCTACTTTTTGTAAATAAAGTAATACGTGTATTACTTACCACTACTACCTTATGATGTTTTGTTCTCAGTGTATGATCTATTGTCGTCGTGTATGCAGCCACAGTGACATCCTGCAGTAACTTGTAGTAGAGTGGTACCTCATTCTCAACAGACCGTCTTAACTTCTGTCTAGACATATTAAAATGCTCATGGATGCAGTTTATACCGCTCTTGATTCTTTTCACGACGTGGGCTATGATAAAGAAGTGGTTATGGAGAAGATTGAAGGAAAGGCAGACACTGCAGTTGTTGTTGTCCACAAGCTGCTCAGATCACCAAAACCTGAACAGCTGTATCTCAAATATGCTCATGACATACTTGGCGTGGTTGCAATTCTTGGAGAGTTTCAGACCCATAAGCTTAGCAGGTTGATGATGGTATCCTTTTCTTTAAAAACGACTCAGTTTAAGAACTTCCTTGGCAGTATGGATGTAATTACATATGTTACCTATCCATAGCATGCTTTCAACACACCTTGGAGAAGATCAGTTGGTTGCAGTAGTATGCAAATCCCGTGCAGCGCCAGAGCTCTTGACAATTATCAAATGGATTGAAATGTGAATTGCACCAGTGTTGTTGACATATTAGCAGTTAAGCTTGGAATTTCCATCAAGGTTCAAGATTTCTGTTGGATCAGATCTTTTGTGAAGCTTTTGGACCTAGCAAAAAGGGCTCTAAGCCTTCACGCAAGCAAGCGTATAAGGTTAAAGCATTTCTTTCTCTGGTCTACTTTATACGAACTGTTTTCAATTCTTATAAATTTTAGGTCTCTCGATCCAGTAAACACATCATGTTTCATCCATGTGTGATCAATGCTCAGTGGAAAAAAAAGTGTAAGGTCCATGCCTTTTTGTTTTGGGCTATATACACGGGGACTCAGCAGTGATCTCGAAAGAGAAGTTGCTTTTCCACACCCAACTTTATCAAGTGGAGAAACTCTCCCTAGAATTTTTGCTATACGGTTAATATGATATTCGTTGCTGCTGAACATTTACAGTTTAGAACTTCTTCAGGGGATGGTCTCCGGGAGACATCATTTTATTGTTTGCTCAATACTCTTCAAGTCTAGAGTCTAGAGAGCAACTTTACATGGTAAGTTTCTGCAAAGAAGATGGTGCGGTTCCCTTGGATGGTGAAATGATGAGAGGAAATAGAGTTGGATCTTAGTATATATGTACTTTCTTTTTCCTACTTCTCTACCATTTATTTGCTTCTCACAAAGATCCATGGGCCTTAAATGATTAACGTCTGTCTTTATTTCTATTTCCAGTCATGGAACTACGTTGGCCCTCTCACCCGAGAAAGTATAAAGATTGAAGATAATCGAAGGCTTGAAGCTGGAACTTAATTAGTCAATTGCATGATCAGATTAAGGAAGAGATTAGGACTCGGACAAAGTACACCTTTGCCTGGAATTTACAACTCTGACATGCTGGTTTGCTTCTTGCGAGTCTTGTACATGTATTTACTCCGGTCACTTCTGTTAAATCTATGTGTTTTGAACTATGGTAAATTCCATGAAGAGCAGGTAGTAAGAATAGGTTGTAAAAACGTGGTCCAGTAATTCAGCAATTTTGATTTGAAAAGGTTTTCAGCAAACTTGTTTAAGGAAATAGCTTGAGGCGACATAGTTTAAGAAGTACACAGAAGCGGTTGCGGCGAAGACAAAAGTTCAAATTGGCGGCTTAGTACAAGTTCAACAAAGCAGAAATCTATTTAAGGAAATATGTTTTCTTATTTAAGTAAGGAAACTGTGCTTTCTTATTTATTTAAGGAAATTATGTTTTCTTATTAAACAAGGAAAGTGTGCCTCATTATTTATTCAAGGAGAAGTTGTTAAAGGTAAGTTCAACAAAAATTTGTTGAAGTTGATAAGTAGTATTTCGTTGAAGAACAAATTCAAGTTCGATGAGGTTTTGTTCAAAGTCCTAGTAGAAGTCAACAAGGATTTGAAGAAGGCAAATACAAGTTGAATTATATAAGGATTTGTAGAAGTTCTGAAATATAAATAGAGAGCTATTTGCATCAGAAAAAATTGCGCACTTATATAGTGAGAAGATCAAAACACGATCAAGAAGCTTAAAAGAGTTTTGAGATTTATTGGAGTGTTGCAATTTGTGAGGAAAAATTGTAAGATTGTATTCAAGAGTCTTGTTTACAATCTGAGTTTGTGAGTAAGAGTTGTTCGACAAGTTAGAACTTGAAAAACATTAGAAGATATAAAACATGGGGGTTTTGTGTCTTTGGGTAGCTAGAAATTAGAGTTTATAATTTCTTAGCTAGGAATTAGAGTTTATAATTTCTATAGGAATTAGAGTTTATAATTTTTAGGCTACATAGCTTTGGAATCTTTTGTTGAGACTTAAAGTTTAATAAAATGGAGTTGAATCCTGCAGAGGTGTAGGTCGTGATTTTTACCCTTAAGAGTTAGGGTTTTCCGCGGTAAAATATTGTGTTATTATTTTATTTGCTTTACAAAACGTAATTGTTGTAATCTGCAAAAAATATTGTGTTGTTCGAATTGATTATCGTTAAGTTTCAAACAAACAAAAACACATCGTCTGTACGTGATCCTGTGAAGAATTCAGGAGATAGAATTCCAACAACTTCCCTTTTGTGAAGAAACACAGGGTAGTTTACTCTGTACGAATTAACACCTATAGCCTTCCAAATAAATGAATGATCAAGGTGTATAGTCATAGGAATCACTTATTGATCTTTGTTTAGGAAGTAATTAAAAGTGGAGTTGTTGAATCTATTCCATTTCTAGATATGCTTGTATGTGAGTCGCATATAGGGCTGGGCATAAACATCGAAAAATCGAAACATCGTACCGAATCGAATTTTTTTGGTATTTCGGTTTTCGGTTCGATATTCGGTATATATTTTTGTATTTTTCGGTATTTTGGTTCGATTTTTGATATGTGATTTTGTGTAATTTGGTATTTCGATTTACCGAAATATATTATATTATTATATATATTTATATTATATTAATTATTAATATTAAATAATAAATATTATAATTTAAAATTAAAAATTAAAAAGTAAAAGACTTTTTTATATAACTATTTTTAGCCCATTAAGCTAAAAATCAAACAAAAAAATTTGTAAATTTTTAAAAGCCCAACTAAGCAGACCCATTAAAAAACTGAAATAACAAAATCGAATCGAAATAATAAAAACCGAACCGAATCAAAATATTTTGATTCGGTATTCGTTATACAATTTACAAAAACTGAAAACCGAAAAAATCGAAAAAAAATCAAATTGAACCGAAATACCGAATGCCCAACCCTAGTCGCATACCAGCATATCTAAAAAGGAACAGATGCATGTAGCAGCATCACTTTTAATTATGTGACAGTAGGATAACTACTGAAATTATGGATCTAGTGCCTTGTTACAAACAGTTGCAGCAATATATAGTTATACTAGTGAACTTGTGGCGCATTCGTTAACTTTCCTAAATATATAGTAACTAGTTAACATGTTTGCGCTTAGAGATCACAACAACTATTTTAGTGATAAATCTTAGAAAGTAGCATATACTATAAAAGAAGATATATGATTAATACTTTGGTAAAAACTTTAAAATGTTTATCATAATTATTTCAATCTATAAGATACAATTTTCTTATTAATTATCAAAGAATTATTATACAAATAATGTTACTTAAGTAAAAATATAAATAGATTAGGATTTTTGTAAGTCATGAAATGGACCAACTAATAAAAAGAACAACGCAACATAGTACTATTTTCCTATTTATTTTTAAAAAATTAAAATTAAAGTATATCTTGTTATCAAAAGCTTACAACCACAAATAGAGAAAAAAACATATCCATTTGTGACATGTAGAAACCTTGAATATCTTATGTGTAAATTATAGACAAAATTTTTAAATCATTATGTTTTGAAAAAACTAAATGTAGAGATAACGAAAAGATTCATCGAAAGGAGTTGGAGATATGTCATTTAAGTAGAAAATGTGAATAGAGGAAGGTTTTTGTAATTTATGAGATGTAATAAATATTATAAAAAATTTCATTACCAAAATTAATTAGTGAAGAGACTAAAATCATTTTTTCAGTTTCATAATCAACTTAATTAAACAAATATCAATTTTCTCTATGTATAATTATTTTTCTAGTTTTAGGATTTCTTAACTTAAGAAAATAAATATGTTCCTTGCAATTGGATACTGGTAGAAGAAAATTGGTTCACTCTGAAAAATTTCATTAAATTAAAAGAATTATACGTTTTGTGAAAATTGAATCCAACAATCATATATATAGACTAATTTTACATAAGTGTTAACAAATACAAAACAAAAACTTAATGGAGAGAATTTCATCACTTTTTTTGGTCAATTCAAATTTTACAAAAGAAAAAAATGTGTTATATCATCTAAATTTGGATGAAAAGAAGCTGATGAAACTAAACAACAGATGATTAAATCTTGATCGAGAAATTGTGTCATATTAACATGTTATATACATAATATATATTGATGGAGTATGGATAATATTTTCAAAACACAGAAGTTTGTATATGTGATGAAAATATCACAAAAAATATATATTTAAGCAATAAAATAGCCAGTTGAATATCAGGTTGCCCTTGATACAAAAAGTTTGCTTTATAATATAATCATGTTCTTGAAGGGGACATATCTTGATGGATAAATTATCAATTGAAAAATTATATAATCAACAATTAATGCATCTATATATTTGTAAATTATTGAAACTTCTACTTTTTCAAATTATAATCGAACAAACTTTTGATGAATCTTCCACCGTCATTAAGCTTTCTTCTTCATTTTGGTGACTTGTAGCAAATTAATTTTTGATAAGCTCCTCAGACGAATCTTACAGTGCCTTTAAACTTTCTTCTTCATCTTGATAAACTTTGTAACACAAGAATAAATTTTTAAAAATATATCCATAATTTTCATACAGCTGAAAAATTAAAAAAATAATACTAACAATATGAAGTTGGAGAAAATATAAACGAGCATGAGTGAATATTATTTATAGATGGTTTAAATAATAGGAATTAAGTAGAAGGAAGTTGAGGGGACATGTTATTTAATTAGAGAATACAAATGGGTGGATGTTTTTTTTTGTAACTTTCATATGATATAATTATATGTAATGAATATGATTAATTATTTTAATTATTTAATAAATTGATTAATGAAAAACTAAAAAAAAAGCAAAAAAAAAAGATAAATAGAATCGTAGGCCATTGAAAGGTGTCAATGTCTCTTCTTTTTTAATTATAATAATAAATATGCTTGAATTTTTTAATCAATAGACAAATTATTTAATGAAAAAAATATCAAAAAAGAGAGAAAAGAAAAGATAAAAATGAATGGAAGTCATAGAGAGGTGTCACATTACCTCTTCTATATATATGATGGACCGAGTTACCCTTTGAAATAATTAATACACATAGCAAAGAATAATTATTATTTTTTGTGATAGACGAACACATATTTAGGAACAACACCATGCATCCAAATCCCCCGTGTTAAAGAAATTGATATTCTTCACTTCAAAGATTTTCAAATCCATGAAAATAATGCATATAGAGAAACCAATTAAGCATCGATAAGAAAAGTTGACAATATGTTCAATAGCTTGAAAATATCTTTTTAAACTATTTTCCGGAAAAGTAAGGGCGACTAATTACACGTGTTCATTCACATAAGTAAAAATAGAAGAAAAAAAAAATTAAAACTCAACAAGTATACACATGGTTACAAATTACAACAATTAATGAGAATATAAATAGAGAGAAAATTATGAAAAGAAATTCATTATCGTTCAAAAATCAGTTCCTAAACCACATAAAAAAAATATGACATACTCGCATATTATATTTAAATTTCATACGCACGTGAAGAAATCGTGAATAATCTGACTCTGCTTATTCATCACATAGAAAAACTTTATAGCCAACAATTAATTTTCATGTGAGAAAAATCGAAAGTCTCTTGGAAATATTCGCATGATAATTTCTTGAAAACTCTATTTCAAAAATTTTCAAATGACTACAATTATCAAAGGAAAAATTTCTTTGAACTTATAACTAAAAAGACTAATATACGTTCTCGTTCAAAGTATGAAACATCTAATGAAGCATAAGCTAAATTTGATGTATTAGCCTTGATATGGAATATAAAACATAATCAGCAATCAAAACTATAAATAAAGAATATTTATAAATATATTGAAATTTTTTTCCAGGAATTAAATACTACTTAATGAAAAAATTAGGTTAAAAAGTCCCAAAACAAAATAAAATAGGTGAATAGCATTTTAAACTTTTCAAAAATGTCATATAAGCGGGTTTATGATCTTTTTTTATATATATATAATACTGAAAACATTTAAACATAGTTAAGTATAAGATTTGTGTACCTTTGATTGTTGCAGCGGAATGAAAATTCACGAACTGAATAATTTGCTCCAAATCCTTCTTTGAATCACTAGGAAACAAATATGGTTTTCACAAACTAAATGTTTTTATTGTGTTTTTATTATAAACTTTAGAGGTTTTTGTTGTTCTTCCTGGATTTTCTTTCTGAAGCGTTCAAGTCAA